CACATATATTCTCTTATCTCCTTTATCTGTGAGAAGATATAGAGAGGGTATACCTACTCAGTACATTGCAAACTCCTTCAAGAAAGGCACAGAATCATCTACTTCTTTTGTCCTTCCACCTCATAGTGCCAGGTTCTCCTAGTTCCTTCCAAGATTATCCCCTCCAGCAAAAATTTGATTAGACTAATGGAGAATGAGGTGATTATCAGCCATGGCCCGTAGAAGTGAGTACCATTTTCCCCTGGGAAGTGAGCAATAGCTTAACCTAATCTGCCAAGGAGCCCAGCTGCTACTTTCAGACTGCTTTCTTTCTTCCTTTCTCCCTTGACATTTGACAATTACCTGACCCAGTCTACGCAGAGAAGTGGCACGGAATGTGGGAAAAGCTTTGGCTCTGGAGAGGGCTTGGGTTCAAATACCTTCTCATACACTTACTATCTGTGTGACCTGGCAAAATCATTTAATTTCTCCAGACCTGTTTCCTTATCTATAAAATGAGCAGGCTGGACTAGCTGGTTTCTGTGGGGGCTCCAAACCAGCTCTGGTTCTGTGATTCTACCCAGCATCTTGTCAGTGGACCACAGGAGATGCCAAGCAGTAGAAATGTCTCTATTAGCATTGTAGGCAATGAGCTAACACCTAAGGAGGCCTTAGAAGGAGCCAGCTGGGATCTTGAGGGGTAAGAAAGAGAAAGTGCTTTCATGGTGGTCTGCCTTCCCCTGAATACATCTTTCAATCCAACAAATACGTGTTGCTATGGACATAGCACTATGTTAGGTGTTACGGATACACAAATGAGAAACACAAAAGCCCTGGCCTTCAAGAAGCTTAAAATCTTGATACAGGCTGAAAAAGAGGTCAAACATACTTTGGGAAAGACATTAACAGGTTAGAACACCCTTAGAGGAGGATGACTACATCGTATAAGGAATGAATTTCACCTAATATGCTTATATTGTCATGCCCACCTTACTCTTCTCCAGAATCCTGTATCTCTGCATACTGGGTATTCCAACCTGTTATTAAATTCACAAAGAACCCAATTCTTCCCTGTGAAGATGAGATAAGGAAGGAGAAGGAAAAAAAGGATTAACATCAGTAATAAGAGTGACTAAAGCTGTCCTTATGTGGCCAAATATAAGAATTACATGCTTCCCATCAAGGCATGCTTGGTCCCATTAACTGGTACTGACACACATCCTCTGCCATGGGCATTCTCTGAGATAAACATTAATGCTAGCTGGCATTTATATAGCACTTCGAGGTTTGTGAGGCACTATATCTTTATTTTATTTGACCCTCACAAACCCTGTGAGGTAGGTACTAGAGCTATTCATGTCCATTTTACGGATGATCTGCTAATGCTAGAGGTGAGATCTGAACCCAGGTTATCTCCTGACTCAGGAATCCAGTGTCACCACGTCATTTCAGAAATGTCAGTGCAGGTGCAGCAAAGGTCACGACCCACACCACTACTCCCTATTGGGGTTCTTTATGCCACCACCTCCAGACTGCTTGACAATGAAGGTGGGAACACACCACACACACATGTCCCTAAATGTCTTGAATGAACAACAGAGTTGACTTGGATTGACTTGCGGTCACATTCTTGTCCCTGTTCTCCCAGAGAGGTGCTAGAATCTTCTCTTCAGCTGCAAAAACTTCAGTTCAAAGCCCAGCTCTGCCATTTGTTGCCCACATGACTTTGGGCAAGGCCTTGATCTTTCCGGGCCATGGTCAGAGCCTATCGATTCTGCGTTTATGAAATCACTCATAACCACCCTCTCCCTTCCCCTCTCCTAGGCAGGTAAGAAGCACATTATTTAGAGGGCTAGGTCTGGAGGCTGGGCCACTGCCAGCTGTCTTGACTCATGTCTTGCCACTGGACTCAGATGACTCTGGAGGAGAGCGAGTGAGGCTGATGACTTTGCTCAGCTCTGCCTCACTTAATCCAACCCAAGACAAGTCAAGACAAGACATCACCCTCATGATGTCCCTGGTCCTCTTTGAGAACAAAGGACAAACAACAAGAACACGTCTGGAGTCAGGAGGACCTGAGATCAAATCCAACCTCAGGCCCCTACTGTGTGACCCAGGGCAAGTCACTTAACCTCTGTATGTCTCAGTTTCCTCAATTGTAAAATGAGTATAATACCTCACCGGGTTGTAAGGATAACATGAGATAACTGTAAAGTGTTTAGCATAGTGCCTGGCACATAGCAAGTGCTTAATAAATACTTCCTTCTTTCCTTCCCAATGCTACTATGGTCCTCATTCATCGCAGAGACATTCTAATAGTCTTAAACCTGATTTCCCTGTATCCAGTCTCCCTTTCTAATCTATCTTTCATACTTCTTGAATATTTCTGTAGATCCATAATGTCATCAATATTGAATGCCTTCCCTCCGTTGATGCACATTATCTTATCCAGTGTGATTCTTTTCCCTGTTCTCCCAGAGACCCTTTAAGAGAGATCGATCTAATGTGCTGGAATCCTTCCTCTAAGTCTATGTTTTCTACAGCTGCAAAAACCTCAGTTCAAATCCCAGCTCTGCCATTTGCTTCCATGTGACTTTGGGCAAGGCCTCAACCTTTCTGGGCCTTGGGTTTCTTATTGGACTAGCTGCACCTCTAAGATCCCTTCAAGCCCTAAATCTATGATCCTGTACCTTCTTCCCCTGGGTTGGGTCTCTGTTCCCACCATTCTTTTTTTTTTTTAATTTCACCAGATTGAATACATTGTTAACAATATTGTTCAAAGCCATAATTTGACCATTTGTATAGAGAGAAACTCTTCTAATGGTGTGCAGCTGGAAAACTGTATTTCAGAAATAGGATAGTCTGTTCCTTTAGAGCCCTAGGGGGTTTTCTTAGTGTTCCAAACTTCCCATTAAACTGTAGGTACCTCATTCCAAAGTGACATCCCAGTGGCACTGCTGGGATAAAAGTCAAACCAAAAGCGGTAGCAAAACCAGTTTTTATTTGGCTTTTATTTGCCCTGTGATAATTAGATATTTGCCTGGGGTTTGTTTTCTAAGCCTCAGATCTGACAAAGATTCCCCTCCCTGTAAAAATCTCATCACCTATGGTGCTTATACATTTTTCTTCCAATTCTTGCCCTTCAGATGCGACCTTTCCAGTTCACCAAGAACAAACACTCAGAGCAGAACTACCAGGACGCAAGATAAGCCACTCTGGGATGATGGAGGAGCAGGGCACAATAGTACCCTGCAATAGAAGGAAGTCAGCTAAAGAAACGTGTGTTCTGCCATATCTAGAGTGACATAAGACATCTCATAGTGTCAGTCTCTTTGTAGGAAGGAAAAGAGGAGCTTTTGGCCCCATGAGGCTCACATATTCATGGCAAGATGGGTCAGTGGAAAGATTTTGATTTGGAGTCAGAGGGGCCTACACTTGAATCCCAGATCTGATATCTACTTTAAAGCCATGTAAACCTACGCAAGTCATTTAATTTCAGTCTCAGTTTCTTCATCTCTAAAATAGTAATAATGTTTCCTAAGCCAAACCAACAGTATTATTGTGGGCCAGAGAAATGTGAGGTGTTAGCAAGACATACTCTGTGGTTCAGCTATATTATCTGTAAAATGGGAATGATGATACTCACTTGTCAGAATTCAGGGAATCAGGCAGTAATAACAATAATAGCTAGCATTTATGTAACACTTTTAAGGTTTGCAACATGCTTTAAATACGTTATCTTATTTGATCAGGAAAAAAAAAACAGGCTTGGACTAGAAGACACAGTAGGGTGGGACTGGTGGTCCAAGCAGGTCTCCACATTAAGTGGAGAAAGCAACTTCAAAGAGAACAAAAAGACAAGGAAGTCTAGAGCCTGTCAGTGGCCAAAAGGTCCAAGCAGGCAGGCAGCTGGTATCAGGGAGGTCTGAAAGCAGGTATGTGGGGTCCCACCAAGAAGACCAAAAGTTTAGCAACAAATATCCAGCCCCCTGAGAACATTCAGAGAGATGCAAGGTCAGTCCCAACAAGAGAACAAGAAAATTGGGATACTAAAGAGCTAACATGAGTAAAGGAGAAAGAGCTGTAACTGCTGCTTATGAGAGAAGTTTGCCTCCCTCTACACACTTGCTGCTGCTAAAATGGATGGCGACGGGAGCAAGGGATTACAAGCAATCACTGACTCAAACAGGATGAGTTAAAAGACCCCATTATTGGAAAGTTAGGCAGTATGATAAAGTAGAAAGAATACTGGACTTACAAGTCAGGATACCTGATTTGAAGGTCTTGCTCTACCATTTAAGAGTTGCATGACCTTAAGCAAGTCACTTCTCTCTGAGCTGCAAACTCTTCCTCTACAAAATGAAGACAGTAACCCTTTACCTATGAGGCAGCAAGATGGTATGATGCAAAGAGCAGATGGAGCCAGGAAGATCTAAGTTCAAATTTAGCCTCAGATACTTACTGGCTTTGGGACCCTGGGCAAGCCACTTAACCCCTATTTGCCTCAGTTCCTCATCTGTAAAATAGGGACACATTAAAGAAGGAAATGGCAAACCACTCCAGTATCTTTGCCAGGGAAATCTCATGGACAAAAAGTCCATGGAGTCACATGGAGTTGGACCCAACAGAATGACTGAACAACAACAATCCCTTACTTATCTTAACGGGATTTATGTGAGGAAATGATGTGTCCTAAGAAAGGACAAGCCTGAAGAAAGAAGCTATCTGGTCCCCAGCTGGAGGTACTTCAGGGGTGGGGAACCTGTGGCCTTGAGGCCTTGTGGCCCTCTAGGTCCTCTAGTGCAGCCCTTTGACTGAATCCAAAATTCACAGAACAAATCCTTTATGCACACAGGTGCCCCACCCCTGTACTAGATGAATGCAGAGGCAAGGGGTCAGGTTGAGGGTGAAAAGGGAACCACAGTACTCTAAATCCACCAGAATTTGTATTTTTAAAAGCCATTCTTCTTTAGTGTCATTCAAAGTATCATTCTTCTGAAAGATCTCTATTGTCTCCCTAGGTCCAACGCAGCAAACAGTCAGCTCAGCGTATGGAATACTGCCAACCTGAGCCACTGCAATCGGCGGAAATACACCTACAGTGATGAAGGGCAAAGCCACCTGAACATGCACCCCCATCAGGGGATCTCCCTCCCTATAGTGAGGAGAGAGATTCCCACTTCCCTCACCACCAATGGGAAACCTGACTCCCTAAATACTGCTAGGAACTCAGTGACCCAGGAGCTCACTGAGCTGGAGAAGCAGATTCAGGTAATCAGGCAAGACCTAAGACTGGCCATGAACAGGAAGAACCAACTGGAAGAATATCAGAGGACAAATAGGACAGTCGAGTCCTAAGTGATCCAATCTCTATCTGTTCTGTCCTGACCTTCCTGTCCTTCCCCCAAGCCACTTTCAACCTTTCTCTAACCCCTCTGTAAAATTTGTAATGCACTTTTGTAACTGCTGGCAGTGGTGAAGGAGAACAAAACAATAGGTTCTCCTTAGAAGGCAATCTCAAAATGGCTCATCAATTTCCATCCTCCAGGGTGGTATTCTCATTCGGAGAAAGAATCTCTTCCTTCCTCTATGTGAACTTCGAATCAGTCAAGGGCAATCTTGGACAAAGTAACAAATCAGACCATGCTCATCTCCTGTTTCCTTCTTCACCTGGTGCCACATTTCTGGTTTTTAGCCCTTTCAGTGCATTAAAAAAAAAAAGTCAATCAGACCTGTGTCTCTTACTGGGTTTTGATGTTTTTACTAGTACAAGCATACCTCGACTAACATGATTAATCAGGCATGATAATGTTGTAGGAGACAACCAGTTCCACGGATTTAATGTTTTCAGTGGTCAACTGGCCTGACAATGATATATCAGGGTTTCATGATGTGACAATGTGGTTACTTCGTGTTAATGTTATTGCAAAAATATTGTGGACAGTGCAACGTTAGGAGAGGTGTGATTGTACAGAACGGTTACCCAGGACTATATATTTTAATAATATTTCTTCAATTTAACCCAACTCAAATTTGGGGATGGTTTTTTCATTTTGGGGGTAGGATAAGTGAAAAAAGGGCAGTGAAGAAAAGATGAACTGAACCGTCAAAAAGCTAATTGGGTTTGACTCTGTTAAGCAACAAGTTTGATTCTGTTAAGACTCTATTAGAGCCAATCCTGCTAAAAAAAAAATGGCATCATATTCTTGAGTCAAGCTAAGCTTTCTTTATAAGTGTGTGCCTTTTGTAAGAGACAAAAAGAATGAGAGAAAAGAAGACAGAGATGAGGCCTCTCTGATGAACATCTGTTGTTTACTATTTGTAATAGGATGTGTGTGACTGTGAATCCTGTGAAAATGTTTGTGCAAACCATGTGATGGGTTAATTCTCAAATTAGCAACAATCTGTCCTCTGACTGTAGGAAGCCCCAAAAGTGATCCTCATGCATGCGACAGAACCTGTTCCATCCCATGCTTGAACTTTCAGGCATCTACCCTTCCTTTTTGTGAAATTATTGTGATATTTGCCAAATGCCCCGGTCACCAAAGGCATATTGAAATGACTCTTGGTTCCTCCAGTTGGTATCTCTAGCACATTTATCACCTCCATGAAGTTGGATCTGAGTTATCTAGTTGTCTCTTTTTAGCTACCTCCTAACCCCCACATAGCTCTCTGGATAAGTAAGATTGGGATGGAGCCAGGGAAGCCAAAAGATCACAGCGGCTGAGGGCCCTGAGTGCTCTGAAACAAAGTATTACTGCCTTTGGGACAATATGCTTACAATGTCACCTTCCATTGCCACTAGGGCAGCAAAAAATGTCACTCAGGAATAGACTCTCCTTTATATCAGTTACATTCTTTTTTTCCCAATACTCACCATTTGTCCCAGTTAATCCATTCAAACGTTATTAAGCACCTATTAATTCCAGGAACTGCTTTGCACTAGATGCTGATGGATAGGTGAGTAAAATCTTCACAGTCTCTGCCTTCACAAGCTTCCTTTTTGAGTGCCTCTTAAGTGACTGGCACAGTAAGTAGCTGGCTACACCCAGTCAACATGACAAGTAGTTACCCATCTCCAACAAGTGAATGAAAGGGCTCCTAGCTCTCCAACTGTCCCTCACTTTACGTTGTGGCATTTGAAGTTTCTACTAAAGTCATTCTCTTAAATGGAGAACTGAATTTTCTGGATGCTCCCATTAACATTCAAATACTCCTAGCTAAGTAATACTTTCAACCTTGAGGGTAATAAATCACAACTGGAAAATGAGTCAATAGGAAACAAAGCAAAAGAGATACCTCAAGAAGGGGAAATGGGAAGGAAGAGGGACTAAAAACCTTTAAAAGTTTCAGCCAACCCTTCTCTTAGGCTATCCCTCACAGGGCTCTAAAGCAGGAAGCCCTGAGTTTGAAGGCACATCTCTAAAACTATCTCCCAGAATTTTCTAATTACAGCCCAGGATACCGTAGGGACCAGGTCATTACCCTCTGTGCACCTCTTATCCAAAAGGTTTATGTACTGGTGTACCTCACTTCACACAGTAGCCAGGTTCTGGAAAAGTTGCCTGTAAATGGAAATTTTTGTAAATCTAATTATATTCTAACTGCATTTGGGTGGCTAACTACATAGAGGAACCCAGCAGTCTTTTGTAAAGTGAAGACTCCTTTTGTAATGCAAATAATTATCCCCTAATTTATTTTTTTCTAAGTTTGGGTTTTTTAACAATGGATTTAATTAAAGCAGGGCACACATCAATATAAAGACATTTTGAGGAATGCTTTTTTGGGTTTCTCTATCTTGTCACAAAATAGACAGTAATTTTTTCCCCACTCAGTCACTCAATGTCTGTTCTGGACTATTGGGTGATAACTGGCTGTCACTGGTATACCTGGGATAGAAAAGTAGTAGCCACCTGAAGGTCAGCTGTTGGGGGCTGTCACCAGGTTTACTGTCACTGATGTTGCTTGAAATGATTTCATTTTCTGGAAAAAAAAATTTCTTGTGATGAAATGAAACTGTTTTCATGTTAAATTGTGATGGTTATTTTTATTGCTGGTGGTTGAACAGTGTTTTGCAACTTGTGAAAAGTGTGCTGTATTTTGTAAAAAAGCTTTCATGAAATTATGAGTCCTTCAAAACAACTCTGCTCTGCTCTGTTCTACCCTATTCTTACCTGGGCTCTAGAGGCTTATGCCCTACTTGGGCTCTAAGAGAAAAAGTCAGTGACCTTCAGGTTAGGGATGGTATCATATAAGAAAGAAAAGGAGTTTTCATCCCTTGGCTGAATGAGCTCCTGTTTCACAAATACCTGAAATTACAAGGTGGTGAATAAAGGAGGAAAAGGTGACAGAAAGTTTGAATTCTCTTATCATGCCACTTTGGGAGTAACATTTGACCACTCCATATCTCTACTCCCTCACCTACAAGGAAGGGAATGTCATTGGCCATCTAATGCCCAACTACGTTTTCGGAAAATGTTGGGAAATTCAAGCTCACTCACTGGAAAAAGGGCTCTATGTGAGCACCAAGCATAGATAGTTGTGTTACGTGGTACTAATGTGGCCACAATGTCTGAATAGCAATCACAGAGCCCAGAGCTGACATGCCACACATACAGCATAAAAGAGAGAATGCACCCCATAGGTAAGGCAAATGATAAATACACCAGATGTTCAAGATAACTCTTAAAAGCATTTCTAAGGTAGTCAAGTGATATGACTACAGTAATCTAGCATGGGACTCCACTGAGCTCCTTTGATGTGTTTAGAGAACAACGATTCTGGTGATTCTATAAATGGTCATCCTCCTTGTTACATGAAGTTTTGAGCCTGCCCTTCCAAATAGGGATACTGGAGGGACTGAAAAAAAGTGAAAGGAAATCCCAAAGAGAATAATCCCAGATCATCCGGCTTTAGACTCATTAGGGCTAAAATTCAACCCTAAACTTAACCTTTGAGAAAACTCCTCTAAGAATCTAAGAAACCAAGAAATCAAAATTAACAAAGGATAGAAAGGTCTACTTTACAAAGTCAAGACTGGCAATCCAGAAATCCATGCTCAGCTTCAAAGGGAGTATTTCTCTGGTCATTAAAACCAAATTTTTACATTTCTTGTGTGACTGCCTGACCAGTTGTTCAGTCCCTTCTTTCATCATCCACCTAAGCCATAAACCTATTTCTTCAATACTATTACTATCATGGCTTACTGTTTTATGAAAGCAGATTTCACTGTATTTTCTTAGGAAGGCTGAAGAGTTATTTTCTATGTGTCTTCGTTCTGAAGTATATGAAACAGACTGCTCAGCGCCAGGGAAGTACTGAATGTCCTTTGGGCATAAAGTGAACAGGATGATTTGCTCTGGGCATGTTTCTTGTACAACTGGGTGGATGGATGAAATGTCTTTAGGTCTTTTCCATCACAAATTTCTATGAATGTGGAATAAATGTTTGGATTGAAACAAAATTCTGGAATGAGGCTACTAGAGTTCATCTCTGGGTACCTGTGAAAGGTTGACATGAATGGCACTAGACTTTCCCAGCAGAAAGTATATATGCTGGCTCATTAAATTTTCAAAAGATTTACAAAGAATATGGACTGAATCACATTTGAGGAAACCCAACACTATGTTAATACAAACATCATAGGCCAGAATTGGTCCCCCAAATTCTTCTCTCAGCCTTCTTTTCTTTCACAAAACTTTTTCTGCTAGCAATTTCATTCATTCCCACACTTCCAAACTGGTCATTCCTTATCCAACCTTGTTATGAGCATTACTGTGAGGATCAAATAGAATAAATATTTGTAGAGTGCTTAGTGTAGTGCCCAGCACATAGTAAGCACTTAATAAATGTTCACCTTCCTCACTTTTGCCCTGATTCACCCAGTGACATTTCTAACTACCTACAGAATACCTACAGCTGGATGTCCTTCAGGCACGGCAAACTCAACATATCTAAGATTAAGCTCATCATCTCTTCCCATTCCACCTGAACTGTCCTTCCTCTTAAATCTCCTCTCTTTTGGGATGTACCAGCAACATCCCAGCCACCCGAGCTCAAAACCTGTTACCTTTGACTCCTGCATAAATTAAAAAAGCATTAATTTTGAAGCAGAAGACAAGTCTGAATCCTGCCCCTATCCTGCCTGTAATATCCCAGGAAAGTCTCATCTGCTCTCTGGCCTTATTTCTTCCTCTAAAATGAAGGGTTACTCTTCTAATTCCAAAGCCCATGATCCTAAGTGGTGTGCTTCTTTACTCTTCTCTCTACCTACATCCAATCAGTTACTAAGTCCTCTCAATTCTACTTCGGCAATATTTCTGGTATAGGTTCTCTTATTCCCAATACACCACTAGGCACCCTGGTTCAGGCAAGCATCACCTCTTCCTAGAAGCAGATATGCCTCCTAACATCTCTCTTTACCTTCAGCCTCTTGATTCCCCAGTTCTCTAAACAACTTCCAAAATCATTTTCCTCATACACTGGTCAGAATACTCACTGCCCAAGGGGCAGCTAGGTGGCACAGTGGATAGAGCACCAGCCCTGAAGTCAGGAAGACCTGAGTTCAAATCCTGCCTCAGACCAAACACTTGACACTTACTAGCTGTATGACCCTGGGCAAGTCACTTAACCCCAACTGCCTGAAGGAAAAAAAAAAAAAGAATCACTACCCTGCCATCTCCTGCCTTCCTCCATGACCGACAGGATAAAATACAAACTATCTTGCCAATCAAAATCAAATGATAATAGACTTAAAGCTGAAAAGGCCCTCAGAGACCATCTAATCTAACCTCATTTATTTACAGATTAAGAAACTGAGCTTTAAGAAATTAGGTGAACCGTCCAAGATCACGCTGGGAATGAGTGCCAGAGGTAGAATTTGAACCCAGGTCTTTTGAGTGCAGAGCCAGGACTCTCCCCTCCCTTCCCCCACAAATGTAAAATCTGTCTCTAACCTACTTTTCCAGCTTATGGATGCAATTTAACCCAGCTGGAGGGCCTTGAGGTTAAAGAGAATGTTGCCAAAACCCCCTTAGGAGAACAGAAGCTTAAGTTGCAAATGCTCCCGGTACATTCCTCTTCCTCAATAGCGCTAAAGCCCCCAAGTTATATAAAGCTCACATTTCTATAGGAACAGATGCAAAGTCTTGAATTTAAGCTTTACAAGCATGAGATGACAGTACACCTAAAAAAAGGTGGGAGGGCTTTAGCAAACTGCAAGCTCAATATGAATCTAACAGTGTGATACCGCAGCCCAAGGTTTAACAATATTTGGGGCCTAAATCAAGAGGCAGAGCTTCCAGGAAGAGGGGAAGAGGTATCACTATACTCGGCCTTGGTGACGTCATACTCTGGAGACAGTCTGGTTCAACCAGGCACCATACTTCCACAGACATTTTTTAAGCTGCAGTGTCCAAAGGAGGGCATCAGGATAGTAAAGGGAATCTAGTTTATGCCATATTAAGACTTCTTGAAGGAACTGGAGATGTTCAGTCTGGATAAGACAGACTTAGGTGGCACATGACAGCTGTCTTCAAATATGTGAAGGGAAGCAGGGATTTGAATAATAATGATACTCAGAACAACAGCTAACACGTATAAAGTGTTTATTATGTGCCAGCCACTGTGCTAAGCACCTTACATTTTCTCTCATCTGATCCTCACAACCACCCTGGAAGATAGGTGCTATTATCATTTCCATTTTACAGATGAGAAAACCGAGACAAATAGATTAAGTGACTTGCCCTGGGTCATTCATCTAGTGTCTGAGGCTGGATATGAAGTCAGGTCTTCCTGACTCCAGATCCAGCACTCTATCCACTGTATCACCTAGCTACCCTACTAGATTACACTTTTTTGTTTGGCCCCAAAAGGCAAAAGTGTGAATAATGGTTGAAGTTGCAAAAAGGCAAATTTTGGCTCAATGTAAGGAACACTTTTCTAGTAATGAGAGCTCTTCCCAAAGTCGAATAGGTCAGCTTTGCATCATTCCTCTTCCCTGGGATACATTTAAGCATGAGCTGGATGACCACTCGTCAGGCTTTTTCAGTGATGGGTTGGGCCAGACGCCCACGCTGACATTCAGTGATTAGATGCTCAAGTCCTCTGCTATTCACCAAGCTCTTTCCTCACCTGGGGGGGGTAGGTTGTTCAGTGCTTCTTTGAAGTTACTGTCCAGCACAACCCATGGTCATGGAAAAACCCACACTGTGGCCACATCTATCATTCATCCAGCAGTTGTGCTGCCTCAGGCCCTCAGCTTTGCCACTACCTGTCTTTCTACTTCTCATTTCTGACAAATTTCCCTGTGTAAATTTGCTAGAGTGAAGCTTCTATGAATCACAAAATATTAAAGCTAGAAGGCATCAAAGAACAAAAGCTTTAGAGAAAGAAGGGACCTAAGAAGTGAGCTAGTTCAAACTCTTAAGAGGCCAAAGAAAACAACCGCAGCAAGAACCGAGGTTCCAGCACAGAAAGGGACTTGCTTGTGGCCACACAAATAGCAGCAAACACAGAATTAGCACCCAGATTGCCACTTCCCAAAGGAAGGCACACCCCACTCTACCGCACAGGGCCTCCCTCAGCTCTGCCCCACGTCAAATCTTCAGAGTTGGTGACATTTTGTTGTTACCTTGAAGAGAAAGTGCAGGGTAACTAACAGCTGCACCGCAGGAGAAAGAGCTCCAGACTGACAGTGAGGAGGCTGGCCTGCATCCCACCTCTGAGGGTCCATCCAAATCAAGGACTCAGTGTCTCAAATGAGATGAAATAAGGCCACAGTTAACTTTGAGAATTATTTTACAGCTAGGCTTTTAGAACTATAAATATTACTTTTAAGCAATCTACATAAAGTGATATAGATGCATAGGACTATTGTAGAGGATGAAGATGAGAGGCAGCGTGAGGTGAGGAAAAGGGGATTTGAGGGGAAAACCTCTTACCATAACTTTTAAATAGCCTATGTTCATATTAAGATGACTACAAGAACAGCTCCATTAATACATAAAATTCAATGTTCCTTAAAAACTTCATCAAGTTTCTCGTGCTAAGATGATAATTCATGTTTAAATGAAACCCAGGAGTAAAACAGTAAGTATTAAATCAGCTTTCACCTTTCTCAAGGAAAAAACCTGTAAGACAAAGATAAACTGACCCATATTTTAATCGGCATTTGTCAAGTACAAAGTCTAATGGAAAACACTACAAACAGTCCTCTGGAAAATGAAGACTGACAACATCCCAGGAAAGTGAACAAAGGATTCACAGCTCACCAAGGCCTCA